AAATCTAGGCAATACCATTCAGGATATAGGCACCAGAAAAGATTTTATGATGAAAACATCAAAAGCACCTGCACAAAGTGAAAATTGACAGATGAGATTTAATTAAACTATAGGGCTTCTGAACAGCAAAAGAAACTATCATCAGAGTGAACAGACAACCTACATAATGGGAGAAAATTTTTGCAAACTATCCATCTTTAAAGGTCGAATACCCAAAATCTACAAGGAACTTAAACAAATTTACAAGAAAAAAAAAACACTTTACAAGAAATAGAAACACTTTTACACTGTAGGTGGAATGCAAATTAGTTCAACCATGTGGAAGGCATAGGGGTTCATGTCTATAATCCCAGCACTTTGGGAAGCTGAGGTGGGCAGATCACTTGAGGTCAGGAGTTCAAAACCAGTCTGCCCAACATGGTGAAACCCCATCTTTAATACAAATACAAACAAATTAGCCATGTGTGGTGATGGGCACCTGTAATCCCAGTTACTTGAGAGGCTAAGGCAAGAAAATTGGTTGAACCCAGGAGGCGGAGGTTGCAGTGGGCCAAGATAGTGCCATTGCACTCCAGTCTGGGTAACAGAGCAAGACTCCATCTCAAAAAAAAAAAAAAAAAAAAGAAATGAAATGAAATGAAAAAGAAAAAGAAAAAGGTGGACAAAGGACATGAACAGGCATTTCTTAAAAGAAGACATTTATCTGGCCAACAAACATATGAAAAAAAGATCAACATCATTGATCATTAGAGAAATGCAAATCAATCCACAATTAGATACCATCTCACACTACTCAGAATGGTAACTATTAAAAAGTCAGAAAACAACAGATGCTGGCAAGGCTGTGGAGAAACAGAAACACTTTTACACTGTAGGTGGAATGCAAATTAGTTCAACCATGTGGAAGACAGTGTGGCCATTCTCAAAGACCTAGAACCGGGAATACTTATTTGATCCAGCAATTCCATTACTGGGCCATATAGCCAAAGGAATATAAATCATGCTTTTATAAAGATACATGCATGTGTATGTTCACTGAAGCACTATTCACAATAGCAAAGACATGAAATCAAGCCTAATGCCCATCAATGATAGACTGGATAAAGAAAATGTGATACATATACACCATGGAATACTTTGCAGCCATAACAAAATTATATCATATCTTTTGCAGGGACAGGGATGGAGCTGGAAGTCATTATTCTCAGCAAACTAACACTGTATATTCTCACTTAAAAGTGGAAGCTCAATAAGAGAACACATGGACGCAGGGAGGGGAACACCACACACTGGGGCCTGTTGAGTGGGGCAGGGAGAGGGACAGCACCAGGATAATTAGCTAATACATGCTTGGCTTAATACCTAGTGATGGGTTGATTGGTGCAGCAAATCACTATGGCACATGTTTACCTATGTAACAAACCTGCACATCCTGTACATGTAACAAGGAACTTAAAATAAAACTAAATTTAAAAAAGAGAATAACAAATAAGACTAGCAGGGGAAAGTGTTAATAAAGATACAGTCAGCAATTAATGAATAAGAAAAGATAAAACTTTGACAACTGTTTCCTTTAAAGACAATAATTAACTAGATAAACCACTACCTCATTTTAGAAAGAAAACAAACAAACAAGAAAACAAAGTAAATTCAGAGATGCAAGAGCAAATATAATCATAGGCACAGATGAGATATTTTTACTGTATATTGAAATAATAGGCTTAAATCTTTGCTAATGAATTCAAAAGTCTCAATGAAGCAGAATTTTTTTCTAGAAAAAATATATTGGCAAAATTGACATGAGAACAAAATCAGTACAAAAAAACTTAGAGAAGACATGAAGAAAAATAGTCATAGTTCTACTTCATAAAAGGGCTTTGAGAAGATGAAAGCTTCCAAATTTAGTAAAAAAGATGTCTCAAAATAATATTCTTACTAATAAGAAAATAATAAAATGCTTAGAAGTATAATTTTAAAAGGCTAGTTTAACCCTATCATGAAAAATTCACAAAACAACAAATAAAAATAAGGCAAAACAAAACAAAATAGTCTTTGTACATTTAAAACTTATAACAGTAACAGTATTTGACTGTTCCCTGATATATTTCCAGTTTTAGTATCCATTATATAAATAAATAAATGCAAAAGAAAAATTTAAAAATACTAACAAAATGAATCTGAATTACATGTACAGAAATAAATACAAGGCAAAAACTGATATATTCTAGAAATTCAATGATTAATTTAATTGAATATAAAAACCGAACTTAAGTGTTTATAAAGGGGAATTGAAAAATTTGGCACCCCTTGCTTATTTTTTTAATTAATAAAATTTATTAATGTAACACTAGAAAAAATATGTATTCAATATGATTTAAAATATAATTTCAGAGACAATAAAAATGTATTCCATATATTAGCCCTCTTCTTTTTAACATACTAGCTATTGAAATCATGGAAGAAAAAATAATGTAGAAATAACAAATAAAATTCTTAGTTTCTTGTGACATGATGTTTGATTTGAAAAAATTAATCTTAGCACTAAGAGGAACTGATTGGCTATTAAGTATAAGATGAATTGAAATTAAAATATTCAACAGGAAATGCAGCTAAAAAGATAGCTGGGAGCAAAGATATTGAAATTGAACTGGGTTCTGGATACAATCCGTTTCTTTATTTGGATGATAATATTTTTATTAAACTACTAAGTATACAGGACTGGAGTTAAAGAAGGACGGTTCTACATGGTTCTAGTCCTGGTATACTACTTGGCAAAAATAAATTCTGAACAATTAATTGTTGAATAAATGAAACAAATTTATTGGGAATTAAAAGAAAAAAAGAAGAAGAAACAAGATAGTGATAGATCATGAAAGTCAAAATATACGTATATAAGAGAACTTATACATCATATGCTACACAGGAGTCAAACAGTATGAACCCAGAAAAAAAGTTCATTTCATTGCCAGGAAATTACTGTTGACTTTAAAATATACAATATTAGTTGAGAGGGACAAACAGAAGGCAAATTATAAAAAGAACCTGGGTGATGACTCTTCAAAAGGAGGTAACAAGCATAAACTACTTTTTCAAAATGTATCCTCTTATGGCTAAAGTTGGTAAGTCATAAAAGCTGCAAGAATGTCTCATCAATGGATATATATTCTCAAAGTAAAAAAGAATCTCACTGCTATATTTCCTTGGAATTGTATATGCAATTTATTGTTTACAAGGCAAATTTGAAAACATTATTTCCTTCACATCTAAAACAGCCTGAGAAATGGGCAAGACTCTTTAATTTAGGTTGTATTTTTTTCTTCAATAATGTAACAGATTCACAGAGTTTAAAATTCAAATTGTACAAAATGTTGAAAAAATTTTTCCACACCTTCCCAAAGGCAATCTGTGCTATCAGATTCTTATATCTTTCCAGAGATATTCTTTGCATACATAAACAAATATTTTTATATTTTAAACAAATATTAGTACCATACTTCTTATTTGAGACGATTTTGACCAAACTTCAAGATATTAATTGACTTTGCCAAGGCTATCTGACAAGAAAATAAAAAAGTGGCATGACTATAGCTAAGATATATTTCTTGGCTCTCATGCTCTCATTTATGCAATATATCTGGTCCTGTAAAAATGGAATGCAATTTTGCAATTTTATGTAAGATAAATGTAGAAATAAAGCCTAATTTCTTTTTCCATTTTTATTAATACATAATAATTGTACATATTTATGGGGTACGTGTGATATTTTGATACATGCATACAATACATAATGATCAAATCAAGATAATTAGGATATTCATCATCTCAAACATTTCTCATGTCTTTGTGTTGGGAATATTCATCATCTACTCGGTCATAAATACCAAATCTAATAGTTTGAAATTTTAATAATCATTTTCTTATTTAATTAGATTTAGAGAAGAACTTGTATTCAAAATGAAAGACATTTTAAAACTTTTCAGAATATGCTTCTGTAAAATAATCACCCCTAAATCATCTATTATGAACACTGTAATTTTGAATATTAAGTTTTTATAAAGTTGCAGAAATCCACAGTGTTTTTGTTCTCAGACATCCTGTTTAGTCATTATGTGTAAATGTTTCATCACCTAACCGCTGTCGAATACAATGTAATTATAAATATAAACCACAAAATATTGTTTTGAGTACTTTCTCTTTTACTAATTCATTTTAAGTTTTACTGGTAGATGCAAAAGGTATGAGTATTTTGTTAATCACTTTTCAAAATATCTTCTGCATATACTTACACCATGTGTTATGTAAATCACAGTACATTACTAATCTATTGTGTTATATCTATTATGAAAAATTAACATTTTTCTAACAAAAATAGCAATATGTTCAAGTAAAGAGCTAGAATGCAATGCTCTTAACAAAAGAGGAATATTTAAAGCTATATGCTGAAAGTAACAAATGTGTCAACTTTTCAACCATCTCAAAAAGAACAATCCAGTATTTATTATACAAAATAAGAAAAAAAATACAAATCTGTTGCTTTCTACCCCATTGATTTACTGCTTATGTTGAGAAAGGATTATCACATTCACACTACTTACATGATGAATATAATAAAATAAAACTCTATAAGAAATTATGTTCCAAATTGTGAAATACTGTTTCAGAGTGCACAAAACTTGCATGAAAAAATGTGATTAAAGAAACCAAATCCTTCTATTAGCTGCACTGAACCCCTAAAGCAATTTAGGAATTTGTTTCTTACAGACAATTAATCACATGCAGGCACGCCAGATGAGAACTATTGATTGCCCTTTTCCAGGCTAGTGGCATTCAGACAGTAGACAGACAAATGCCCTAAGCAAGGGGAAGCATCTTTCTGCTTCTGCCTGGTGTAGCTTTTAATTGTTCTTTCCTAAAATGCTTGACATTTTCTGTTAATCTTTAGTGTAGAGCCTACTCCTTTATTTTTTAGCAGTACACAGATAGGTGTTTTTTTCATTTACCTTTACACCAAGGTCCTTCATTAGCTCAATCTCAAAATTCACTACATCATATGGCAGGCGGAACTGAGGGATTTCAGAAGTACTGAAAAAAGAAAAAGAAAAAGAAAAGTAGGCATCAGTAGAAAAATGACCAATCTTAAAAATGCGTAACATATCTGTATGGATTAGTAGTAAATAAATATCTCTTCTGAGGGTATTTATATGAGGACATCTACATTTTTATTGACATAAAAAATATTACATGGAATGAAGTTACAGTAGAAACTGATATAAAAATAACTAAATTACAGCAATAAAAAATGATAAATATAAAACTGGCCAAAAGCAATTTCTATAATTTTAAGTTCAATATTTAGCTGATTTATATAATAATTCTATATATTCCTATGAAAGCAAAATCTTAAAATATATTAATAAAACTAGTTGGAGATATAGATTTTAATATATGTGCACATATATATATATATATATATACATATTCACATATATATTCTATAAATATACTTCTAGCTTGTTGAAATGCAAATGTGTAACTCTGTATTACCATACTGTTTAGAGTATTATAAAACCAGTTCCATGTGATCTATAGAACATTTTTACAATAAACTACTCTTCTTCTGTAAAGGAACTGACTGTCCCAAAAAGGTTCGGTAATTTAAAAACAGTCCTGTTTTATATTAATACCTATTGCCTGCATTTTAAAAAAAATCATGAGGCCTATAGCACTATCATTTTAGTAGTATAATAGAGTATTAAAAGTAAGCTCAAAACGCTTTCCAATGTTTCATAACAATTAAAAAGCTATGTATGTCCATAAATACACAGCAATCCACTCATTCATCATTTGCTCATTAATTCATTCACCTACTCATTGAAAGTGAGTAGTGCCAGGCAGTGTTTACAAAGTGCCAGCCAAATGTAAGCTGCAATAATTTGATGATGAATCTTACCAAATTCTTACATTTAATAAGCTCTTTTTCTGATCATGGAAGGATGCATAAAAGGTAATTACATTTATAATATGATACACACAATGAGAGAAGTATATTCACTATATCTTTAATATGTGTGTGTGTGTATAATAGTAATTATATTTTCTATATTATAGACATTAATTTGTAAAATAAATAATTTTTGAAGATGAATCTTCTGAATAATTAATTGAAAAGTCTTCCAAAGTACAGCCTTTTCATTCTTTGATGACTTAAGAACTTGATTATTCAATTAATTTTTATATATCTATCAGCAAGATATCATACTTAACGTTACAGAAAATGCAAGTTATCAAACACTATAAAATCAAATCTGTACACTAAAGAAGCTTCCCTCTAGTCAGAAATATAAGTTTATGTTTAAAAATGAATTCAGGCATAGGGCAGAGATAAAAATCTCTTAAGTCAACTTGTCAACTCCAGCCACATTACCTCAGAGTAACATGAATGTGCCAGAATATTCTGGGAACCAAGAAGACTTTGCCTTCAAAGGCTAAGTAGAAAGATTCTTAACAACTGTGAACTGTATGTGAATAAAAAAACAGACACCCAGACTTGATAGACATGGGGCTCCATAGGAGAGAGATTAAACATGGACTAAAATTGGGCATTGATGCAGTCCTCAATAGGTTGAACAGCAGAGCAAAAGCAATGTACTATGAACAAATAATTCTAGCCAAATAAAACAACTACAACAAGATGAGAATCTTAAATCCATCCAGATACATTGTGAATCTGAGAACCTTCCAATGAGTCAGGCCTACTCTTGGATTTTTACAGGATGTAAGTAGAAGCACATATAATTAAAGAAAAAAATGGTGTGAGTGCAAGTCAGTGGTTCTGACTTAAGAAAAAATTTTGAAAGAGCAAGTTATAAAGAGCAGGGACAACTTTCTGTTGGCCAGAAAAAGAGAAAGGAAGGAACACCTAACATAGCAGGAAGAAACCTGAGGAAGGAAGAAAGAGCAGGACCACCTATGGCAGTATAGCTTTGAACACAGATGTGGGCACCAGGGAAAATAGAATGCCAGGCTGCTGGGCTTCAGCAGCTCTGCTTAAAACCCCATGCTGCTGTGAAACCATGTCACTAACACTTAGCACAGTGTTAAATGAATAAGTAGGAGGGAATCCATTTCCTAACATCTCCTAACGTAAATAAGAGAAATGTGAAATACTAAGAAAAGTTGGTCAGATTTGGTCACAATCAGGTACGTAGGGGGTGGGTGGAAATTATAAAAAAATATGATGTATTTATATTCACTAATAGATGAAGTCAGCAAATAGATATAACACATACACACACATATATACGCAGAACAACATGACAAATATAAAATACCAAATGTGAACAAGAGTGTTTCAAAAGAGGAGAGGCTTATCGTGGGATGAGATAAGCAGGTAGTAGAAATGTCTTAGGACTTTAAAATACTATTGGTGTGTGATGGCTTCCACATCTGTCTTCTCAAATCTAAATTCTAGATTTTTATGTTCACCTGGGTGTCTAACAGGTATCTCATATTTATCATGCCTAACACTAAGCTTTGGTTCTTACAACCCAACACTGGTCCTCAGATAACCCCATTTTATGAGTTCCTCAGGCTCTAAACTCCATTATCACACACTATTCCCTTTCCAGCACCATACCAAGCCCTGATGCAGGCAATAGGAAGGTGTGTTCTTTTTAGACAATTTAAAAATCATTATAAAACTTACGAAAATGGGCCTGTTTTGTATTATTTTCATGAGCTAGTAATTCTAAATAATATTACTAGTATACTAAACAATGTCCTCTGCCAAAAAAAAAAAAAAATTCTCTGGTGGGTCTAAATTCTAAACAATTGCCATAGTTGCTACTGAGTTCTAGTAATATATAGGTAAGCTTCTCAATGATTCCATTTTTATTACCAACTCTTTAATAAACATGGAGTTCTACAGGAAAGTTAACTTGCAGAATTACAGTTAAATAGTGGCCATGAGCACCTGCTGATTCAGCTACAGGCATTCTTCATTCCAATTCCCCGTAGGCAGCATATGCCTCCGCTCCTGTGATGCTACAGATTCCAATATGTGAAAAGTTGTTTTGGAATTGATAAAATGATAGCACACGAAGCAATAAGAATTACTTCAATTCTGTTGTTTTGTATGATCACATGGAATTTTTGTGTTTAAAATTGAAAATAGCTACATTCTTAGTATTAAAATAATTTGTTTTAATCATTTTTTAGTTCTACAGAATAAATTTAAGAAGAAATTCTTACTGGTTATTGGGTGATTCTTATTGAATTTTATTGTATAGACCAGAAGATAGCATGTTAAAAAAAAAAAAATCCATACTGGGTATCTGGTATGCTAGGTATACCATTAATCCACCATTTTTAAAAAACTTCCTCCTTGCATTTATCATCACCTAACATATTCTACATTTGGTTTATTGTTCATTTGTTGTCTGTCTCCCCACCACTAGAATATAAGCCCCATGTGAAGGCACTTTACATTATTTACTTTTATGCTCTAAATAGAGCCAGAAATAAAGAACAGCACATAGTCAAGTGATAAACATATACACTGAGGAAGGAAGAAAGGGAAGGAGGAAGGGGAAAATATAGATAGGTATCAGGTCATGGAATGGTTTTTATGTCAGGCCATATCCTTTGCCTCTGAGGTTAGAAGGGGTTGTTGAAATGTTTCAAGTGGAAGAGAGATAGAATCAGATTTGGAAACTAAAGGAAGAATGAATTTGGAAACTATAGGAAGAATGAATTTGAAAAGACAAATCAGGAAGCCAAGATAACTGTTTGGAAGCTACTGCAGTGGTAAAGAAAGTGAGAGGTGGCCGGGAATGGTGGCTCACACCTGCAACCCCAGCATTTTGGGAGACCAAGGGGGCTGGATCACTTGAGGTCAGGAGTTCAAGACCAGTCAGGTCAAAATGGTGAAACCTCATCTCTACTGAAAATACAAATATTAGCCAGGCGTGGTGATGCACACCTGTAGTCCCAGATACTTAGGAGGCAGAGGCAGGAGAATTGCTTGAACCTGGGGGGTGGAAGTTGCAGTGAGCAAATATCTTACGATTGTACTCTAGCCTGCCTGGGTGACACAGCCAGAGAGTCAAACTCCCTCTCAAAAAAAAGGAAAGTGAGAGGTAAAGATATCAGAGGACATTTTTATAGCATGTTGATAAAATGGAACTGCCAGGATATTAAAGAGTAGCCCAGATAATGATATCATCCCCTGAGATGGGATCTGTGATGATAGTGATGCCATATAAACTCATGTTTACATTTGCCATCTCCAAGGTGGGAAACTCAGGAAGAGAAGCAACATTGGTCATTGATATGATGAAGTTTATAAAGAGATGTCTAGGGTTTCAATGTATAAATCTGTTGCTCAGGATGGAGAAAGATGTCAGGGTAGATACGGATTTTTAAGACATTTGCATGTAAGTGATAATTGAAACCATGAGAGTAAATGAGACTACTCTGAAGAATGCAGGGTGAAAAAGAAGATAAAAAGATAGAAGACAGAATTTAATAGGAATGATTGTTTTCCAAGTTTGTTGTGCTTAGGAGAACAAACTTTTCATCTATCTGTGCTCCTGTAACAATCTAAGGCTTTGAAAAAAATTTTTTCTTGTTGTAATCATAAATCCTTTAGTACAGTCAGTAGCATGTCAGACAACATGAAAAAAATTCTTCTATTTCCTGTTTCTTTCTTGTAATGAAATGTATCTATAACAACTTTCCATTCTTTTTAAAGCACAATTCTCACACTGTGACAGAGGTATGCTTCAGTTCATTGCACATTCTCAAAATATTATTGACTATTGCTGTAACTATTTCACCTAGACCCCATTTCCCTTTATCGTCAATCGACAAGAAAAACAATAGGCATAATAAAAAACAATATAAAATTTGAAAGAGGTAAAGCAAAGGGCAGCATTGGCCTCACTATCCTACCTAACAAAAATGCCATCATTCATACATATTAATTTATAAGAGAAAAATCAGAAAGTATATATTTGCACATACTTGAAAATCTCTTAACACTGTTTTCTTTATCTTTGTTATAATACCAAGCCCTTTTAACCCTGTTAAACCAATGTCCTAAAAAAAGAAAACACTGTTAGAGGAAAGCAAAACTACTGATTATTTTATAAATTTGTTGCAACATCAAAAATAATTGATGTGTTCAATGCAATAGAGATTAAATCCTAGATCTTTTTCACTGACTCTAGTGATTTTTTTTAAAAGTGGTTGTGATACTAATTCACGGGGGATAAAAGAATCTGTTTGGATGCAAAGGAAAAAGAAAGATAAAACTTGACATGGCCTCTTTAAGCAATTGATTTCAAATACAAAGCTAATTTAATCTTTTTTAGTCACTTTGAAGATACAAGAGAATGAGAGGCGGCTATAAGTGAGAAAAGAAATTAACAGGAAAGTTTTGTGGAATTCTGGCTAAATTCCAGCATCAATTTTTATAATCCTGTAACAGTGACCCATAATGCCTCTACCATGGGACAGTACAAGTGAGATTGATTAAATATTTCATATTGTCTCTAAATACTGGGAAGATTCAAAGGCAAAAGAAAGAATTTAACAACTTTAAAAGAAAAACCACGATGTTTGGTCATGAATCCAGAGACATCTGTCTCACTAGAAAATGTTGAACAAATAAATAATTTTTTAAAAAGTTTAGTACTAATTTATAGGAATTAGAAATGTCTATCCTGCATATGAGTTAAAAAAGATTTAGGCTAACAACAGTAATCTTCCACCAAAATTGGCAATAGAGAGTAATTTATAAACAGGGTTGGTTCCAATTTAGGCTCTTTGTGAAAATACAGTTAAGTGGCAAAGAGATTTTTCCTAGCCTCCCAGGGAACTCAATTAAGTTCATATTTTAAAAATTAGCTTAGATATTCACTGATGTGTATAACTGAAAACAACAGTGCTTATACATATATTGTTAACAGATTATGTTTTTTCTAATTAATAAAGCTGTGGTAAATGCCATTAAAATGAGAGTCTAAATCTTTCCAGCAAAACAATGTATGGGGCATTTTACTTTCCAGAGAAATAAATTCATATAATACATGTAATCTCTTAAAATTCATAGTAGTATAATACAGAATTATTATTTCTTAACAATCAATTTGTATATGTTTCATATCCACTCTAAAGGGTCTTCTTAGTATGTGATATTTTTGCTTGATGATTCAGTCAAATAATATATTAATGATAGCTTATTACTCAATAATTATGTCAATAAATATATCAACATATTTATATCAATGATACAAATAATTGATAATTTTATATTATCTTGGGTTTAGCATATTGTGTTTGAGCAATATTGAAATTGATATAGCTATTAACATATATTCACAGGTGCCAAAAACTGTAAGAAACTTCACAGATTTTAGTAACAACTTGATTAAATTTATCCCCTGTCATTATTGGCTATGGTTAATTTATTGGTTACAAATAGTGCTGCAGCCATAACAAATTTAAATGTTAAATATAGAAACAGATATTCCAAATTGCTGAATTTTATAATCCATGACTTTTTTGATACTATATGTAGAGAAAATAAAAATCAATTGAGAAATATTATTCAGTTACCATTAAAATTCTTTATTTTGCATCAAATGTTATAAGCAATATCTACTCCATAATCATAATTTTACTCCTTTGTGATAATAAAATATACATCCAGTATAGAGTTCTATTTATTTTAAATATACATTCTCATTTCCATGTATAAAACCTCAAGGGAATAATATGATTATGTGATTTTAAAAATGTATATTTAAATACAACATTTCTGGTAGACGCTGACAAAATTTTAATCAAGTGTAAGACTTAAAAAATTATAAACTGAAAATATGTAAGACAACATATCTATGTAGACAACATAATTAATATTCCAATATTCTATGGAGCTACATATCCATCACTAATATCCATGATTTTCAGGTATATCTCTATTAAAAGAAAAATTCAAGGGGCTAAAACAATTTTTCACATATTGATTCTCATAATCAAAATATAATTTGCAGAAATTTCTCTTAAATTCACAGAACTAGAGGGAAATATTCTTAAATAAATATTACTTAAAGCCAACTGCAAATTTTAAAGCAAATAAAGTAATCAAAATTTGAACATTTGGAAAAAGAACATTTAAAATACCATCTGTGAGCCTGAAGTTTCTATATGATTATGAACCAACAATATTAATAATTGTTTTGCTCCATCATTTCTGACACTATAAACATAAAATAAATGTAGGCATTACCTTAAACCACCAACATATTCTTGTTTTTCAAATATAGTGATGTCAGAGTACCCCAATCGAGCCAAAAAGGAAGCACAACTTATACTTGCAGGCCCAGCACCAAAAAGAGCAATCTTTGCAGAATAAGCTTCAGACATTTTTTCCGGAGGAGGCAGGGAAGGATTTCTGATCTGTGGGATACTCATTGCTTTGAATACCTACGGAGAAATCAATTGCCATGGTTAAAATTTTGAAACTAACTTACATCCTCAAACATATTTTTAATGTTTCAAATGAATTTGTGTTTTAAATAGCAATAAGTAGTACATTTTCAGTATTAATATAGTATACTCACAGCTTGTATCAAGTAGACGGGGAATTATGGCTAACTCGCAAATCTTTCCTTTCTTGAATCATGCCTCCTCTAGGAAACACTCCACTTAGAAGGTGAGTTAGTGCCCCTCCTCTAAACTCCTGCAGCATAATCTGTATATCTCTAACATAACCACATATCTGTGGCATGTGTTATGTTTCCATGTCAGTCAGTACAACATTAGTTTCTTGAATCAGAATACATGCCACATATAAATATAGTACCCTTATGCTACAGGAGTTAGCATTACCGTGGCACACGGTAGACATTTAATAAATAATTGTTTGAATTCTGCTTTTGATTATGATAGATAAACTTTGGGAGAATAATAATTTTTTTAAAATAATAGAAGCATTGAAGAGCTACTAAAGCAGGCAGTCTTGGAAGGGCTAAGATCTTAGAAAGGAAGGAAGAACCAAATGAGGTAACCAGAAGTCAGCTTTCCCCTGAGGCATTCAAAGGGAGGAAGGCTAAGAATCTTGAGGAGGACCACAGCTCAAAAAAGAGATGTTAGCAGTCTTTTGAAACCAGAGAGACACAGAGTTTTGGAAATATAGGAGGCCATTAAACTGGAGCAAAATAAAGTGCAGAAAAGTGAGCTTAATTCTTAAACTGCATAGGACAAAAACCTAAGGATCTAAACAGAAAACCTGATGGTCCAGGGAAAACAAAAACCAGAGTGACCAAATAAGAAAGAGCCCTAGAAAACACCTCAGTGTACAGTTAAAACTTCTGGAGGGCAACACTCTATATGTAGGGCAAATGAAAGGTAAACAACCAATCCAGACCTGGATTTAAATGGCAGTGATCAGTCTCCACTCTTATCTATCTACCAAAGATAGAATACACTTTCTGTGGAGAATAATAAGTCAACCGCAGTTTCTACACATTTTTTGATAAAATGTCTGGGGTTTTATTTTTAAAAATCCAAGACTGAAGAAAAATAAACCTAAAAATATAGAAAGAGATACATACATAATCCGGTAAGCATAGTTATAAAACATAAATTTTAGAATAACTATGATTATGTTCAAAAATATTTAAGAAGAATGTAAACTTCATTATAAAACTGGAATTTGTTACAAATAACAGAAATTTTTTAAATTTAGTAAAATATATTTAGCAAACACCCATAACCAGCTAATGTGAAAAGAGGGAGTGGGATTTAAAAATGTATTTAAAAACATATTAATAAAAATCTATTAATTAAAATTGTTATAATAGGTCAAAGAAGGTCAAAAAAATTTTGAGATGGTAAATATAAAAATGAGAAATTATTTTAAATGTAAATGGACTAAAATTCCAATTAAAAGACAAAAGCTATGGAAGATAAATACTTGAAATATAAGAACACAGACAGGTATAAAGACTAGAAAAGTTAGACAATGCAAACACTAACCAAAACAAAGCTGGTACAGCTTTCAAAATGTTTATTGAATCCCCACTAAGTACCCAACATCTCGTTAAAGACTCTCAAGGTGTTTGAAGAAATGAAAGCTGGTACAGCTTTGTTTTGGTTAGTGTCTCATATTGATATATATGTATATACACACATATGAAATATTAGACTTTAAGGCAAGATGTTCTAAAATATTCTATAAAATGTTCTAAACTTAAAGAACTTTTTATAGCATAAATCAGTCAGCCACTCAAAAATATTTTACAATTCTAAAGGTATAGGCTCCAAATTACAATTTTAAATATATAAAGCGAGATTGATAGAACTAAAAGTAAAAGAAATGAATCACAATATTCTCACTATTCTACTCTTATGAAAACTTGACTGCTGATAAAAGTGGCCAGTGAAGAAATTCATATTATAGGTAAATTATGTATGATATCTACTGGATTAGCTCACAGGGTTGTTTGCATTTAATAGGTCAAAGCAGTAACTTTCTCTCCTTCTGGAAACCCAGACAGAGATCAATAGATATAAATGTAAATTTTCTTAAGAGTGAGGAATAAAGATGACAGGTCTTTTCATTTTCTTAACCTCATCCCACATATACCACCAACTACTGTAAATAAATTAAAAACACATAAGGAACATCCAGATGATCTCATTTAAAAAATTGAAGAGGGTATTATTAACAAGTATTACAGGGTCAATTTCTCAGCATGAGATGAATGGTTCTCATAAAAGTTCTTCTAATATTTTGTCATTTTAATTCTAATGCTTTGTCACATTTTACTGGTTTACTTATCTGTTTCCTCCTTTTGATCATAAAATCTTTAAGGGGAGACAATATATTAGAATTCATCTTTTAATTTCCAGTGTTTTTATATATGTGTGGGAATATGTATTAACTACTCAAGAGTTTAAATTGGTAGTACAATAATTTCTTATTCCTAGCTACAATCTATATAATTTACAAATTATTAATATATGTTTCTACTCTTCCCTGTGCTATCCAAACAATGCAGATTTTCTTACATACTATTTTTGAACTGACATATAATGTTACCTTCTATTCCTTTCTAAGCAATGTGAACAGGAACGAAATTCTAGTTCTAAATTAATAAATAATGTTATATGATCATCAATTAAAACGTAGTTAAAATATATTTTATATTTTATTCCTTTCTAAGCAGTGTGAACAGGAACTGAATTCTAGTTCTAAATTAATAAATAATGTTATATGATCATTAATTAAAATGTAGTCAAAATATATTTTATATTTCCCCAAAGAAAGGTTTAACATACTTTTCTTAAATATATATTTTATTAGATTAACTAAAATGTAGTTAAAATATATGTTTTTATATTTCCCCAAAGAAAGATTTCACATACTTTTCATAAATACATATTTAAAACATACATTCAACATAATCAGGGAGAGATATAGCTAATTTCATTTAGAGATTAAATAAATGCTAATTTCCTTCATATTTAGTTGAATAATTTTAGCTTTGTGAACTAATAATTAAATATTTAACTTTCCCATGTTAAAATCTGCTAACATTTACAAATTAGCATTTCATTTGAACAAATTCTGAATGAAGACATTTATGATTTATTTAAAAGTATCATTTATTGCTCATATCTTTTACAATGGAAACAGATTTAATGATGACTACTAAGAATTGTTTTAGGCTACAGTGTTCGTTAAAATGTGAAGTTATGCTGTGATAACCAAATTGAATAGAATTTGTTCTCAGTATTCACTCAGAAGCAAGAAATAGGAAAGTTCTGAGATGCCTAGTATATCTGACACAAATTCTAGCTAACAGCATGCAAATAATAAACTAGCAATTTTCTAACAATAAACAATAGGTATCTATTTTCACCTAAGAATATTTTAATATATTTGAATAAAACTTTTAAGCATTTTTTCAAAAGACTATCAAATGCAAACACTGAATTATTTTTCAAAATGTTTATTGAATCCCCACTAAGTACCCAACGCCTAGTTGTAGCCTCTCAAGGTATTTGAAGAAATGAAAGCAAGCACACTCAGTACACAAAGCATCAGGACACATACTAGAATGTACATTGTTAGCCCCCCAGGCAATGCAGCTTAAGAGTTGCTTAATACATACTCATTACATTGCTTGGTTCAATACACACTGCTTTATAATTGGTATCCCTTTGCCTGTTCTGTTCTAGGTTTTTTTCTTTCACAACTTTTTATTGCACTGGATGACCCCCCTGAGTTTTATAGGAGTTTGGATTAACCTTGATGCAATTTTTTAAGGGGTAAATAATTGAACCAAATTTTTGTGAACTTCAGCACAACAGGTGGTATATATATATTTGTTTATTTTGTAAAATTTATTTATTATACTTTAAGTTCTGGGGTACATGTGCAGATTGGGCAGGTTTGTTACATAGGTGTACATATGCCACAGTGGTGGTTTGCTGCATTCATCATCCCGTCATCTACATTAGGTATTTCTCCTAATGCTATCCCTCTCCAATCTCCCTACCCCCTGCTATTCCTCCCCTAGCCCCCCCACCCCCAGGACCCAGTGAGTGATGTTCCCTTCCCTGTGTCCATGTATTCTCGCTGTTCAACATCCACTTATGAGTGAGAACATGTGGTGTTTGGTTTTCTGTTCTTGTGTCAGTTTGCTGAGAACGATGGTTTCCAGTTTCATCCATGTCCCTGCAAAGAACATGAACTTTTATGGCTGCATAATATTCCATGGTGTATACGTGCCACATTTTCTTTATCCAGTCTATCACTGATGAGCATTTCATTGGTTCCAAGTCTTTGCTATTATGAACAGTGCCACAATGAACATATGTGTGCATGTGTCTTTATAATAGAACGATTTATAAGCCTTTGGGCATATACGCAGTAATGGGATTGCTGGGTAAAATGGTATTTCTATTTCTAGATCCTTGAGGAATAGCCACACTGTCTTCCACAATGGTTGAATTATTTTTAAAAGTATGTCACTGAAACTAGACTCTTGAAATTGAGTCTTGACTTCCATCATTTTCATGATATATGGAATTGAACAAGTCCTTAAACATTTCTATGCCTTAGTCTCCTTAATAAGGTGGGATTAATAACATATATTTCAAAGAGATGCTTTGAAGATTTAATGATCTAGTTAATACCTGGAAAGTGCTTTAAGAGACTGCCTGGCCATATAGCAAATGCTATTTACTTTCTAGTGTTCAAATTACATGAGACAGAGTATATCTAAACTCATACTGTCCAATATGGAATCCACTAGCCACATTTGATTGTTTAAGTTCAAATATAAATTACAACTAAATAAAATTAAAAATACACTACCTCAGTAGCACTAGTCATATTTCAAGTGCTCAATAACCATATGTGGCTAGTGGATAATACATCGAACACATCCATCACTGCAAAAATTAAAATTTCT